TGTGTTATAAGTCTGAAGTGCCCAAGTGCAGATGTGTCAATGTGAAGTGGTATCATAATTTCCGAGTTGAATATGATCTGCATCCTGTAAATGTAAGCAGAATCTTGGTATAATTTTTGTTCTGATTCAGGGCATTTTAGATTCAGAAACCTGAAATGTCTCCAAATACTCTGGTATGAAAGCAGAAACAGCTTCCCCTTTGGAGAGGGTAAGAGTAACTAACATTCAGAAGATGGTTCTTGATATGTTTATGGAAGGGGTTGTATGAATCTATTTTAGTGAACTCGGTGACCCAGACATCCCTTCCGGTGCTGCGTTTAGTTCTCTCAACTTGAGATGTGTGTGAGGCACACAGGAATTGCAACCCATCATTCAAAATCCAAGCAGTGTTATTGGTTTGTTAAGGTGATTAGTGTGGATTTTTGTCTCAAACAGCTCTCATCAAGCATCTCTCTGAGCTCTGTAAGCTTTAATGCTTATTATCTGATCACTTCTTAGCTCTGGCAGAAGTTAGTGTCTGTACCAAAGAGCTGAGGAAACTGTGCTAAAGGGAAAGGAAGTGACCTAGAGTCATAGAGGAGGAGTGGGAGAGCAGAGGGAAATCCAGTGTAAGTCAGGAGTCTGGTCTCCTTCATTTCACTCTGAGGCAATACTCCCTCCAGCACAAAGACAGCTTCTAGACTCTGCACCCTAGACCCTGTTCTAATCTTAACTTCCCCCTTCCCTTCTCCCCAGGGGCTGTATTAAGGGTAGAGTGTAAGCTCTGCACTTTCCTTAGCTGCTGTTTTGTGGTGAGAAGCAAATAAGCATCAGTCGGCTGACTCCTGATGCTCATTGGTATGCTAGGAGGGAAACCTGGCATGCTGAAAGAAGCACAGTCTGTAGAGACTGGGATGAGGAAGGGGTGGAAAAAAATGCCTAGAGGGTACTAGGATCCAGGGAAGAAAGCCCTCCCAAGTGCTATTTAGCTCTGATGTGGCCCTGCTTGTACTGGATGATCCTTCCTACTTTGTTTTCCTGTAGCTCCTTCTCACTGTGTACGAGGCTGGGCATGTTTTAGAGACGCAGAGATTCCTACTCTATTTTCCGTGTACCTCCAAGGCTGAAGTAAGGTTTTCATTTGTTGTAATATAATGATGAAAAATCTATCAGAGTAGAGTGACATAGCTTATTCTGCTTGATCAGAGGCCAAGTTCTCGAGTATTGCTGCTGCTTGGAAACTGGCCTCTGAGGAAGAGGAGTTGTATGTTGCCAGCTCAGTTCAAAGTTCGCATATCAAATACTTGCAACAATGTCCTCACTGAGTTTTTTCATTCCGTATTATTAACTGGTATTATTTAGCAACTATTTTTGGAAGCAGTAAAAATTCCCCAAAATTCTTAGCTGCTTCTACACTGTTAGTGGGGACATAGCAATTAATTCAGAGTAACAAAATTAACTAAATAATGTGGACTCTAATCCTCTCTGCATTTAAGGACTTCAGCACAGATTGGCTGCTGTGTAATGATGACTGTAGTATGGGGTGGAGGCTGTACTTGAATGATATTTGATCTTTTGCTAATAAACAGTGTTCTAACTTTGCCTCTGCAGAATAAGGCTCCTAGACCTCTTGCCTAGAGTAAGAGAGAAAGCAAAGGCAAATGATTCCAAGAAACACAAGAATTCTAGGTAGGGAACTCGTTAATATCTTAAACTAGTGCTTTCTGCGAGCAGAACTCAACTAGCAATAAAACCATGATCTAAAATCTCCAAGCTTTTACTCTCTTGAAATGGGAAAACATAACGTCCTTGTGCATAAGTGGGTGAGTTCACCTGCTTTATAAGTTCTTCGAGGAGAGAGCATGAGAAGGACGTTTGCTGCTGCTGCTGCAGCCCACAGCCTTTTTCTCCCTGGCTTGCACCTTGCCCATCTTATGAAAAAAATCTGTAAGGCTGCTGCATTACTGCTACCTCTGCCCTTGAGGCTGATAGCTTGCCAGTTTGATGTGAAATTACTGTTCCGTCCTTTCTCTTCTTTCTTTTGCCATGAAGGGTATCTGATCTGGGCCTATATATAATCTTTTTTCTCTCTCTTCCTTGCCCCCATATTTTCCTGCATTTTTGATCTGTCATGATAGGTTGCTTTTCAAAAATGAACTCCATCCTTGATTTTTTTTTTTTTTTTTGGGGGGGTGGTGGTGGTGGTAAATGAGATGAGCAACCCAGTAAGTTAATATTAGCTGATCTCTCTTTGCCATAGTCAACATTTCTGTAAATTTTTAGGCCAGAGGAGAGCACTAACACTTTTATTTGGACCTCTTGTGCACCATTATCTTTTACATTTCTCTTAGCTAACCTAGTATTGAGACCTATAGCTTTGATTTTGACTGTATCCATCTTAAGAAACAAGACCAGTCTTAATTAAAAGATATCAAGAGGATTCACAGATTCCCTAGGTATCTTATTCCAGTAGTTAATCATCCTTATTAAACATATATTCTAATTTTGGCATGCCTGGCTGCAGCTTCCAGGCATTGGGTCCTATTATGTGGTTTTCCACAATATGCTAAAGAGCTTGTAGTACTTTGTCTTTTCTGCCCAGGGAGCTGAATCTTCTTCTCTGTGATTGAGTTCTGTAAGCGTTGTTCTGAAAGAGATTGTCTCTAGCTTTCAGTTTTGTGGTTGTTTCCTATACCGTCTACAATGTCACCTGAACTATGAGTACTAGTCTAGAATTGGAGTCAACCGCATCAAAGCTTAAAATGACCTTCATGTCCCACATCCCACTTTAAAGATCTAGGACTGCCCTATCTCCTGTTCCAAGATGCTTCATGTTTGTGCTTTACATCTTTGTTGTTGTTTCAGAACGTAAGGTCCAGGCTTGCTTTCTTTAATAAAGTGAAGCATTTGACGTATGCCCAATAAATGATCGCAATTCATTCTGTGTGGCAAATAAGACGAGGATCTTATGAAGGAAAAATAATGTTGTGTGGACTATAGGCATGTGAGACTTAAAAGCAAATGAGGAGTAGGGAATTGACATAGCAATACAGTAAAACCAACCTTACTGGAACATAAATGGACTTTTCAGATCTATTCAGGAATCTGTTTCAAATCTGTCCAGGAAGCTGTTTCATGAAGTAACATAATAGCTGGTGGTTGTAACACTGTGGACTGACACAGAGAAGGCTGGTCCCTGCCCCATGTATTTCTCTATCTGCTTCAAGAAGTGTAAATTATTATTTCTGGAAAGTGTATGCTCATTACACTGGAGAATGGTGTCTTTTATCTGTTATACTCAAGACTTTATAGAAAATTTAGCATGTTGATATGTCAAAACAGTAAGGCAATGCAATAATTTCTGAGGAATTCAAACTATAAATATCTCTGGTATATACTGATACACTCCGAGCTAGCCTCAATGGAAAGGAAAATATGGGGTTTAGCCTATGTTAATAAATATATAAATGCTCCAGTATCTGGCTGGATGACACAGTCTTTGTATTGATTTCTGCTAAACTCTTCATTTGGGGGGCATTTGCGTTCTTGCCTTATGTGAAGTAGGTTTAAAGATGACAAATGTGTTGGTGCTTCCTATGATTCAGGTTTCATTTTGCTTCTGCTAAAACGGTGGCTGCTGTATCAAAGAGCAGAAACCCATTCCAACTACTGTTTTATTAAACTGTTAGCTTTTTTTGACAATGACCAGAAGCTAGTGAACACTTACTGATTTTTTTTTTTTAATTTTTTTTCTCTCTACAGCATAAAGAACAATCTGGTCTAAAACATCTGCTGGAAATATTCATAGATTTGATGGAAATTGAAGGACTATACCCTCTTAGGATGAGTTTGGCATAATTATTCTTAAGGCATAAAAATTTACAGCTCGGTAATTCTTCTTTCGTAGATTTTGCACACTGAGATAATGTCAATACTTGTAAGAGTGGCAATGAACGTTTCCAGGCACTGGGATACCATCACCTATGCTACAGAGCTGTTCCAGTGTTCCTTGACACAACTTCAGCTCCATGAAATAGCTGTTGCACAATATTTTTGAGGTTTAAAGAATTCGTTATCCTGGCAGCAGTCTGTGGCATGCTACCTAACTTCATCACCCAGGAACATTCCCAGGCACATTTAATTTACTATAATAAATGCAGCCTCAGAGATTCAGAAACTGGTAGTGCTCTGAGCCCCCAGAGTGAGTAAAAGAAGACCTTCTGTCACTTTCCCTTTCCCAAAGCTCTCATGTTCCCAAGTTTTTACCTCGGATTGCATAATTTCTTTTTTAACTATTTCATAAAGCATATGAGAAGCTTGTAAAATATTTTCTATCAAGCAATGTAAAAATATAATGCAATATTAACCTGTGAAAGAAGAGTATTTTATCACTTATATACTTTTAAAGCAAAAAATCAGTTTTGCTTTTATTCACACTGCTTTTCTGCATAACTCCAGGCATCTGCATTTAAAAAACATTAGAGAAAAAATTAAAAATAATACATTGATTTAGAGTAATCTGAGATAGTGCTGTAAGGATTCTAAGTATTGGCACTTCTGGCAAAATTTAAGCATTGATTTTGTTTTCTGTCCGAGTTCTTCCAGGACTGAGTCAGTCTTTCACATATTGTTACTGACCTATTAGCTTTGTTGAAATGACACGCTTTTGTTCAGAACTGAACAAGGGTACCAATGTGTTTCAAGACAGAATCTAGAAATTTTGCACAACATGTTCTCCTTGAATTGATATTACAATTGCATTTCATTGTTGTTATCTTCAGACAATCGCTTTATTCAGAAGGAAGAAGCTTATTTGCTTTTATCCTCTGGAAGACCAATTATCTTCACATAAACTTTTTGATTTAGTGGAAGTATTCACTGAAAACTCCTTGCAGAAAAAATTGTGCTTTAAAAAGTCTGTGCAAAAAGGACAGCTCCAGAAAGTCTCTTCAGAGTTATTACTTGTTATTGGAAGGTCTTTAGGAAAAAATACTCTCATTTTCCCCCAGTTCTCAGTCAACTTAATCATCGTTGATTTGCATCAAACTAGTAAGGAGATCTAGTCTTTGGCAGCCAAAGAGGGCTTTGGCAAGCTTTCCAACTGTAGCACCTTTGGAGCCTTCCCTCATTACCCACTTAAGCAGCATTTGGTAAACTTTTTCTTTTAGTCCATCTCTTTCATAGTCGTGATCAATTTCATCAATCTCGGGATCACAGAAACCCAGTTTACGAGCACAGTGCTTCCACTGTTTAGCCAACTTTTCTCTCACTAGATTCAGATGTTTCTCAGTAAGGACAGTAGAATTGTCTGCAAAAAGAAAAAGAGTATGAGAAAATGGCATGGTTTAACACTTCTTCTGCTCCTTTCGCTCGCTCATCTGTCCTCCCCAAACTATTCGTAATATCAGGAGACCGAATTTTAATGATACGATCAGAAGTGGGTTTCATGGAGGCAATATTACCCAACAATGCCAGGAAAGAAACTCCCAGTTAGAACACGTGTATTAGGTCAGTTGCTGGACTTGCGTTTTGATCCGAGGCTATCATAGTTCGTCACTTAAAAACCTGCAAAATTGAAAAACTCCTTCCTAGAGTTTTTATACAGCTCACTGATGTCTGTATGATACGTTTTATATTCTGGGACGCTATTAATTTGTTTACTTAAGAATACAGAGGGATAGTTTAATTTATTTTCATTGGTCAGTACTGAATTAAACTTCAAAATCTTCCAATTTCTACCTGAATGAAGTGGCCATGGCTCCAAGCCTGTCAGTGTTCAAGAAGTGTTTGCACAATGCTCTTAGATATATGGTTTAAGTTTCCCTGTGTGGTGTCAGGTGCTGGACTCAATGACCTTTATGGGTCCCTTCCAACTCGGGATATTCTATTATATAAACTATAAATCAGGTGAGGACTACCAATCCTGACCTTGCTTCTACCAATGTGAGTGTGGTTATTCCTCTTGTTTTTATGCATATACATCTATACTTGTATTTGGTGTCTCATAAGAGGTCATAAAACTACAGGACAAATGAGGTACATGGTATTACAAACAGTATTAGCACAAACCCTTACTTGTTTTACATGGTCTTGAGTATGTAGAAGAAAAGGACCCAGTTATTTCTCAAGTATCAGAGGGAGAAAGTTGTAGTGCTTTTATACATTCTAAACCAAATGATTCTCAGATAAATATATGGGAGAATACATCAAAACTAGGGAGATATTTCTCTTACCAAATATACCCATTGCTTCGTAATGCGTATAAGTTGCTTCTGTAACAGGAGAAGTGCTGATGTGTTGATTTTGCTCTTCAATCTTCATGTGATTGTAGGATCCAATTTGAATTCCAGAACTATTACTTATGTTGTACCTGATTGAATCTTCTGTATAAGGGAATTGAATACAATTGTATAAACAACTGCATATGGCCCAAAATGTCAAGAAGTAACATAAGGAGGAAGAAGGCTCTGCTAATAAGGGAGGTGATTAAATGTTTTTATTGCATGTAATGTAGAAATGGCCATTTACTGGCAACTGTGAGCGTTTTTTCATTATGTAGTGTGACATAAATGTACTTTAGTGAAAGTCCATCCTATTCTATGTCTATTATGACAAAGTGTCATAACCAAGCCTTACACGCTGGTAGTTACTATACTGTGAATAATGTTCCCTGTGCTGTAGGAATGTGTAATAGCAGCCTTGCTTTTTTTTGTTGGCTAACAGCTTCAGGAGGTCAGTCTTTACTTGAAAGCACTTTTCATTTAAATCTTAAAGCCTTACTTTGATTTTCAGCTTTACTTTTCATAGATGTTAAGTTCAGGTTTACAGTTATGATTTCAAAGTTCTGTGAGACTACAGAAAATCACTTCTAGTTGTTCATAAGATTTCTGTACTCCATGTTATACTATGCTGTCTTGATGGCATCTCTGTTTTGCAATGTATTTCTTCCCTGCTATCTAAGAGTCTATCTTTCAGTTGTATCTATTTTCACAGTGAATCACAGGGCACTACTTGCTTAGTGTTTGTTTCAACAACATTTCTTCTCTTTATTTTTTTTTTTTAATTTTTCTCCCCTGATCTATTCTTTTGGTTCTAAGGTGAGACTAGAATGTTTTCTGAGACATTTTACCAAATGACCCTACTCCTTTATTTTAAGGCCGGAATCCTCAGCAGTAAAAGTCAACGTGTATATGCGCTGATGGCACAGCTAAATTGTGTGCACCTCTGGGAGCTTGTATCTGTGGTTTACTTGTATGTGATTAGTTAAATACCTAATTTGGTGTGTCTTGCTTACAGTTGTCTGATTTCCACACATAACGTGAAACTAAGTGACTATTCTAGTCCTGTTAAGTGACATGGGTTTTCTAGTCTCTTGACAACGTTTTCCAAGCTCTTGTTTGGATAATCATCCATTAAACGTTCTAACTCTAGTTTAAATGGTGAATATCACAACCTGGGTCTAAAATTTAAGAACAAGTACTTAAAACAATAGACCAAGTTCTGTATGTAATCACGCAAAATGATGGTTAGATTTACAAACATCCTTGCTACACACTCAAATGTGAAGTGTGGAAATCTATGGTCACGTATGAAAATCTGACTGAATGCATTTAGTATTTCTTAACCTGTAAATGCTAGTCATAAATACTTGTATGCATGATTAGTTTCTAGAAGTTGCAGAAAAGGAATGCATTTTATCATGTCACAATATATTATGATTCCTGTATCCTCTCCTTTTTTTGAGGTGAAGGACCCTGGAAATATGTTCATATTTAGCTAAAAAATGAAGAAATCTCTCATGTTTGCTATTTTCTTATCTGGTAACAAACTGAATCTAGCACAAGATATGAAATCGTGTACAAATGCTTTGTCAATATTAGCAGTAAAAGTTACTGTGCTTATAAATCTCCTTTCCAAAGCCTCTGCACTTTGCTTGCTTGTCATGTTTGGGCCATCATCTAAAGACTCTAAGGGGCGTATAGTCAAGAAGATGGAAACTTGCCGTTTCAAGTTTTCTTTCTCTAAGTGTAAACCACTTACAAACTGGACAAGCCTTGAAAGGGTTAATTAAAGAGTTCAGGGTGCCTCAAGCAACACAACTTGATAGGAACATATATTAACAACTGCTGAAAGACAGGACAGAATTTCAGGGGTTTAAGACAGTTGAACTAGAGAGACTTGTGCTCCAAGGAAGACTGATCAGCATGAAGCTTGCAGCTAGAAATTTGTATTAAAAATCCAGAGCAAGAAAGAACAGGTGTCCCAAATGCATGTGTGGTTTGGAAGTTGGGTAGAGTCGCAGCAACCTGATCTTTAATCTAAGAAAGTGACTGGTTTAAGTGTACAAGAGATTTTAACAGTGCCTTCCTGTTTTTAAAAGCTTTTTTACATAATAAAAGATGTTGTCTTTGATCCATCAAATACACATTTAACAGCATGTACAGGCCCTGCTAGAGACAAGGATTAGTTTTACATACAGGTACTGATAACTTCAGCTATGGTTAGAGGTATTAAGCAATAACATAAATTATTTCAAGATCCTGAATTTTTTTGCTTTACTGATCAGGATGCAATTCGCTACCAGGACAGATGAAGGCTACAGCACTTACCTGTGTTTACTCTGGGTGTAGGAGGATAATATGTAAAAGTTCCCATTGTGAAAGAAGTGGAAACCTTGTTACCTAAACAAAGAGGGAAAACAAAACAAAATGCAAAAAGTATTATGTACTTAAAAAGCAAATGTAATTAAAAATGACTGCCGTATTTGTAATGGTATGAGTACATAGTTTGTGCTCTCAAAAAGCTTTCATCTCTTTGTATTTAAGAGGATTGTATGTCCTTGAATAACTCTTGTTAAAGCAATGACCTTATCATAGTTTTGCTCAGTGACTAATAGCCTTAACCTTCCTTGGATCCCAGTGAGGGCAATGGGCTTCCACATGGGTGTACGAATACCTGACTACTAGATGGCAGTGCAGAGTGCACCACAGTTATAGACCGAGCTGCCTCATATCAGGTATTCAAACTGGAAAATTCCAAACTCCTAAGTGTGCTCTTACTGCTGAGACTGATTGCAGTTTGTATTAGCACACTCCTTGTGACCAGCTGTAGGAAAGGCATGGGACACCACTGCATCTTCTGCTGGTGGCAGTAATGTCTAGCAGAGATGTAACTTCCTGCCCAGGGCAGCAATCGATTTGGATGCTCACAGATGAGCTCTGCAACTCGTGATGGGGCAGTAGAGTGGATGGGTTATGGTCACCCAACAAGTCAATGGAAGAGCTGCAGTGCAGTTCTTCTGCATCTCGGTCTGCTATCTGCTACACTATTGCATGCAGCATCCCTATAATAACTGTTTTCTTATTTCAAACAGGACTTGACTTTATTAGCGATGTCGACACTTCTAATGCCTGCCTTCTGACATGACAGCTCTCAGATTCATTTCAGTAAATAAACTCACATAAACAACTAATCACAGCCTCTGGATAAATAATTTAACAGAATAACACCTTTGTGGCATTCTGCCTGTAACAGCTAGGGATCATTGATTTTCTTGTGAGATTATCTGTAAAAGAATGTCACACTAAAAATAACCAATATTTAGTAGGAGCAGGGTAACATATCTCATGCTGTCTCTAGTTCCTAAAAGTTACATCTTACAGGTCTCTAGTTACTATTTATAATTTTTGCCAATGCTCAGTGTTCTCTTCCTTCTTCGTCTCCATACCTTTCTATTCCACAGCTCACTAGCAAATACCGACAGAATCTCCCCACCAGCACCAGGCAGAGCTCTCTGGAGAAACCAGTTATGAGCCTCAGCTCCTTGTTGGCTCCCTTTGCTCAGGGGTCTCTTACCTTGCTGCAAATCAAGCTAAAAATCTATTTTTCTGAAATGCTACAAGTGTTGTTTCTGCACAAGCAGAACTTACAGTATGAATGTTACATTTCTGAAAGTCAGAAGTTCTCCTTTGCTTTCCTAGAATGATTGGTAGCAGCTCTTGGTTTTGGTAGCTGCTGTTGCAGCATCCGCTGTCTGCTATGACTTGGTTGGTAGCTAAAGAGCTAGATGTTGGGTCTGATGTTCCCCTGTTACACCGATGCTTTAGAAACAGTTCATTCGAAACGTAACAGCCTGAATCAGTTAAAGCAGCATATTAAAGTTAAAGCTAGAGTGTTTTAGTGACTTGAAGTAACTTCAAGTAAACAAAGAGAATGTCATGAAATAAAGTTACCTTTGCTATATTATAGATCAGCTGTTAGCAATAAGCAGGTTGTTGTTACATAAACTACAAAACACTCTCAACCACTTCATTTTTAGAGAACAAGTGTGTTTTCAGAAACATAGGTGTTGAGGGAGGAGGAATCTCACCTGTATCTGTGTCTGCATTCTTTGAATACCAGTTTACGTTGGTCTGTGGCTGCAGGTTTGGGCCAGATTCAGGCACAGGAGGTTTACTTAGGCTAAAGGCACTGGCTGAACACAATCCATAGAGATCCTCTGTGTTTCCCATTAGAAGATTGTTAGGGTTTGGCCCGTAAAAAGGATCTACATTTCCCCGTTTTGGTGTTGTTGCAGCTGGCTGTGGCCAAAAATACGGATTAGTGTTTGATCCTGTTTTTTCAGCTCTTGAATATGGTTCATTCCATTGAGGAGTAGGAGATGGCTTTGTAAATGGATCATAGGAAACTCTTCGTCTCTTTTCTTCCTCTCTCATTTCAGGGGTGTATACTACAGGTGGAACTGCTTTATCCATCCGGCTCCCAAATGCATGGTAGTTGTATTCCCGCTGAAGTTTTCTTTCTAGATTATCAGCAGATGTAAATGAGGTCTCACAGCTCTCAACAGGCTGGTTATCAGGGGAGGCAGCAAACAGGACTTCATTAACCTGGCTGGTCATGGGACCTTGAGAGCTGTGTAGAGAATTAGGCTGATCTGAAAGGGAGGAAATTTAAATACTTGAAATGCATCCAAATGCAAGTATATAACTTGTTGCGATGACACTAGAATCTATTAATCTACCATTAATGTTATGGTAATATATAAAAGATGAAAATATTACTTGCAGCATAAGCTGTGTTTTGTTTTATAGAATGCCTTTACTGAGAAGTATTACACATTTTTATCTAGGAAGTACATGCCTGTTTAAGCTATTGGTGTCAATATCTTATTTACTCAAGTGGTGTCTGAAGTCACTGCATGCTCTGCTTATATTGACATCAGTAGTTCTAAACTAATGAAAGAAACAGTTCCTGGAGGCATTTGCGGGGTCTGATTTACTGGTGTGTCTCCACTGGCATTAACTGGAGTTCAATCAGTGCAAAATTGGAGTGTAACAGGGTGAAAAATAACACCACTGTAAAAGGTGTTACTTCATGCAGCACAAATAACTTGCCATTAAAGTCATGTATGCAAATGATTATGTAAAATATCCTAAGTATTTCGCGATGAATCCTTTTTGTCTAATTCTTTCTTCATAGTCCCAAAGAATACATTTTTACAAGTAATGCCTACCAGATAAAATAGTCTGTGTCATCCACATCCTTCAAACTAATTTTCACTATCAAAGGAAGCTCTGCTTCAGTCTTGAACTAGATTGAGTTATGATCTGGATCATGCTGCAGCACGTCAAGACTGTAAAAATCTGCTTGTTACTACTTGTTCTTGTGTTTTTAAGGGTAGGACTACTTTAGGTTTTCCTAAAGTTCTGAAAGCTTCACAGTTGTCTAGAAAACATTGTACATTGCATAAAGCAAGAGACTTTTACAGACCACCGTAGAACTGGAATAAAGTGTGCGTATGCGCTTCTATTTAGCTCAGATAATGCCAGTGAACTTTTTTTTTTCCAAATTACATTAATTCAGTCCATATTAGGCAGGACTAAAACTGGTTCCTTTTGATGGCTGTATATTAGTACACCTGCAGTCTGACTCACTCTGCTTCTTTTGTTACCGCTGCTAGAGAAGGAGTGGGAGGAATAAGCTAATACAGAAACAACCTCATCAAAAGTGACAGCTATTAGCAGTTCAGTATTGGCATAAACTATATGGCATCCATTCTCCAGGGCAAGCTTGATACGTAGGAACAAATTCTGTGGGATATCTTTCACTACCACTGTCTGAGTAATGCCCATTGACTGGAGAAAAAAAATCTGACTTTGACTGACAGGCTGTCAAGATAGTATCTTTCAGCAGTGTAGATTCACAATAAAGCCTTTCGTACTTAAAACACAAGAGCATCTTTAATCTGCTGCATACAGGATTATTTCTGCTAGGGCAATGTAACTATACTCATTTAAAAATATAGTAGTGGGGCAGCCCCACTAAGTCCATCAGTTCTACTGAAGAACAGTTATGGCAAACCTAGCTTTGGGAAAGATTTATTAGTTGCATGTTGCAGTTTAACATTATTAATTTAATAAAGTCTTTCAAATGGTATGAGCAAACTTAGCAGGATTTTATTTCTACTGAATTTGATGTTGTTTGTAAATCATTGTTGCAAATATGATCCCATATCTTTTGCCATTAAGAAACTTCGGTAAAAGAATTCCAGATTCACTACTACAAAATGATACAGTTACAGTATCATCAAGTATTAGTGAGACAGCTCTATAAAACCATGAAATGTGCAACTCATCCAAGATATGATAGAAAATATGAAAGAAAAGAAAATTAATCTATTGGTGCTCCTCAGATTCCATAGAGAGGAAGATCATAAACAAAGAAATATGTTAAAATTATGCATCCTGGTCATATTCAGAGCATTTGTAAGAAATGCTGGAGTGGGGGAAAAAAGGAAAGTCTTGATGAAATTAAAGCCTACAGACCAAGCAGTTGGCATGACTACAAAGATAGGAAGAAAGACCAAGTATAAAAAGTAATTATCCAAGTGACCATTGAAAAGTCTAATGTTAAAAAAAAAAATTGAGCATTGAGAAGAAAGCAGAGTAGTGTAAAATGAAATGGCTTCAAACTGTAGATTGTGGAAAATTCAAAACAGTAAGCATGACTTTTGGGAGCCAGCGAGTAAATTTGATCTTTTCAGTGATTTACAATTCTTTCTGAAGTGCTAAATAATTGAGTCTCTTCATAACCCCCTAATGGTAAGATTCCTTACTTTGTATATGTACACAACTTTACCTTTGGCAGAATACACACAATAATGATGTGCTAGGAAGTGACTTACCTACTTGCCCATTACTGGTATCTTCTGCTACAGCATCTATTTGAAGGGACTGCATCCTATTCAGCAGTTCATTTGACTCGGGCCCCGTTTGCTGCATGTAAGAAAGAACAAATAATCAAGTTACAGGTAAAAGCTTAACCAAAGGGAGTACCTGGAGAATAGGAAACAGCATGGCTTCACGGTGAAGTGACCTGGATGAACAGATTCTGTGGATCTGTGGGAAGAGATTCCATACTCTTACAGAGGGCACAGCCTGACAGAAAATACCCATTGCTTTGCTACAGATGCGCAAAATCTTTTCTTCAATGAAGGGAGGAAGGACTGAAATGCAACGGCAGTATATAATACTCTGAGTTGGCCACACAATATTCTTGTTGACATGAGTATGAGCTTAATCCAGAGTGGTTTTGGATTGTCTGTTACTGTCTTATACTTGAAAGCTAGACTTTCTGCAAGCAATATTGGTGAGACAATGCTGCTGAGGTAAGGGTAGCAAATGTGCATCTTGTTTTGTGGATTTAGTAAGTATATTCATCAACAGGGAAGAGATGAGCAAGAAGATTTATATTCAGGTATGGCCACATTGACTTTTATGAAGAGTATTAGGAACAAGGAGTTCAGAGCAAATCTTCAGAAAGTTGTAGTACAATTTCCTTTCTGTAAACCCTCATCCTCACTTCACTACAGTGAAGACAAAAATCCATTCCTGTTCTATTCTTTTGATGCTCCTGTTGTTCAGACTTCATTGGAAATAAAAAATTTTTTTACCTGGCAAAATTATTTTTTAATTTTCCCCTAGTGCTGCTTACTTGTAAAATAATTTTTAAAAGTAGGGTTTTTGGTTTTAATTAAACCCAAGAAGAACTTTCACAGATTAAAAATCAACAGCTACTATCTCTTCCCCCCCCAAAATATTTCCTTAGAAAAGCAAAAGATGACATTCTAAAGCACATTACAACCTTAGGTCCTTAGATTTTACTTGAGTAACTGAACTGCTTGAGTGGGGAGGTTGGACCAGATGACCTCCAGAGGTGCCTTCCAACCTCAACCATTCTGTCCACCTTTTAGTTAGGAGGCTGTGGATTCTGCTTCCATGATTGCTATTGGGGGGGCGGGGAAAGGCTATGCCCAAACTCTCTAACTCGCATTGCTGCTGAAGCTGTACTAGTAGTTCACCACACTGACTTGCCTTGGATGCTGTATTCACATTCTGTGCCCAGATCGGAATGAATGTTTTCCTTCCTGAGAAAGTAAGAGACTTGCGGCCCATTTTCTTAATAGTGCTTTGGTCCCTATGATTTGAGGTATATTTGCAGAGAGCTAATGCAGCTAGTATAATTGGCCATGATCCTGATTTGGAGCCGCTATCATAAATTAGACATATATACTTCACATGGTGATTTAGTTTGGTCAAATCAGTCCAGGAAATTTGTATCATCGGTTTCATTTTGCAAAACTCTATTGCTTTTTTGAACAGTCACTCGGTGCTTCACAAACATCACACGTTCTCTAAACCAGAAACTTTCATTTCCACAATTATAGACTTGGTGACAGGAGGAAGTGCTTTAAAGAAAACTGTAAATTAATGGTTTCACAAAGGAAGTTGGTTGGGGTGTTGTTTGTTTGTTTCTGCTTAGTTAAAATAACTGTGTATGTACTCTTCTGAGCCTCACTTCACTGCAGAGAGTAAACCCCTAATGCCAGGAGTTATCACTGACAGCTGTCAGTAATACTAAAGTGAGTAAATTGATAAAATCTTTTATAAAAACATTCCATAATCAGCCCAATTGTTCAAGAAGTTCTCATTCTCTTATTTTCAGTCAGGAAATAATTATTTTGTATTATAATTTATAAACCTACAGCCAGAAAAGTGAAGAGAAACCAACTTGGACACTCAGGAAAAACATCTGATATAAAATTTTCCCTGTTGTTATTACTGTGATACAACTTCCTTGTCTCAAGCAGGCTGGGACTCATTAGACACTGCCTGAACGCAGGAAAAAAATTTCCAAGAATTTACAGAGGTTTTTTTATGCTTACTCTAAATCAGATTGTGCCACTTTTGAATCTGTAGGAATAACATTTTATTTCATGAGTGAGACTTAATGGATATATGAGGAGCTTTTGCAAAGTGTTGTAGGATCAATGTGTCACTCAGGTGGGAATAGACCTTGGAGGACCTCAGGCCCTCCTGCTCAAAACAGGGTCACTTACAGGATCGGAGTCGGTAGCTCAGAGCTTTGTGCAGTTGGGTGTTGAAAACCTCCGATGATGGTGACTGGACAAGCTCCTTAGGTAACTGCTTGGGTGTCCTCATGAGGAAAAGTTGTGGGGTTTTAGTTTGGTGGGGTTTTTTTCTTCTTTCCCCTCTTACATCCACTTTGACTCTCTCTTGTTTCAGTTTATGTCCACTGTCTCTTGCCCTCCTACTATGCACTGCTGTGAAGAGCTTGGCTCTATCTTCTCAATAAACTCCTCACAGGTAGGGTATGCTGCTATTTGTGTCCCCCCAAAGCCATCGCATGTCTGGGCTGAAATAGCCCCAGTCCCTCAGCCCCATCTCGTATGCCAGGACTATAAGTGCTGAGCAGATCTGCTCAATCTGCTGCCTGTGACACTACTGGTACAGCCTAGGATGCTGGTGGCCTTCCTGGCTGCCAGGCAGGCTGTGGCTGGTACCCAGGTTGCTGCTCACCACCACTCCCAGGTCCTTCTCAGCAGTGCTGCTCCCCAGTCAGGCAGACCCCAGTTGGCACTGAAGCCATGGGTTATTCCAGGTGCAGCATGTTGCATTTGTCCTTTCTGAATTTCAGAAGGTTTCTGTCACCACATTCCTCCAGCTAGCAGCCTTGCCTTTCTGACTGTATTGACTGGTGGTCCTAGTTTGGTGTCACCTGTGTACCTTATGAGAGTACGATCCATCACTGATAAAGGAGTAAACCAGGGAAGGTCCCAGGATAGTAAACCCTTGTACTACTGCAGCTGTTACTGGCCTCCAGGTGAAGTAGGACCCATTAACCACTACCCTCTGAAACTCACCGTCCAACCTGTTTTTGTCTGCCCATCCAGACTGTAACATCTGAACTTGGATACAAGAATGTTTTGGGAGACAATGTTGAGAATCTTCCTAAAGTTGAGGTAAATGACACACACTGTTCTCCCCTCATTCACAAATCCAGCCATCTTATCACAGAAGGAAGTTGGGTCAGTCAAGTAAGACCAGTCTTGAAGTAGCAGAATCTGGTCATAGCTGGGGTTGAGGAGAGGGGATGTGGGGAACTGACACTTCAAAATGCTTAGAAAGTTACTCACTTTTAACTCCTTCAGATCATCTTCAATATTTTTTTCTAGATTTTGATAGTAAAATGGCTTGTATGTTTGACTAATTTCTGTAAAAAGAAAAGAACTAAGTGAAAGTGATTTTCAATGAAAAATAAAGTGATTTATACTGTTAACAATTTTGATGGATAAGGATTGAATAAAGATTTATATGAAGTCAGAAACAGGAAAATTTTACATACATTTGGAATCTGTTCACATGGCTCATTTGGCCTTAATACAGTAACAAGATGATGATGATTTCTAGGGATTTTTGTTTTTCATTGGTGGTGTATTGCTTTTTAGGGTGAAATCTCTCTGCCTATGATCTGTGGCTGACAGCAACTTTCCTTAACTGGCCCAAAGATTAGTTGCCACATTTTAAGAAACAAGATACATTCAATTGCATCAGCTATTTGATGAACAACTATCCTGTCTCTGCTAAAGAAGGAATTACTGAAATAATCTACAAACATTGTAAATATCAGTATTTTGTATATTGGAAAGTTAGAAGCTAAGATGCAGTGCAAGCATAAACTCAATTCATTAGCAGTAGATTATGCACATTAAATATGGAAATAAGAGATGATTTCCTCTTGCTATACAAATTTCCTCTGAGTATTTAAGTATATGCCTGTTGTATATGAAGCTCTTGGTGCCCCTGTCTAAATCCAAATCTCCATTTCCTGTTATGTGTAGGGGTGGTGTTTTTTTTTTTGTGGGTTGGGGTTTTCTTGCTTGTTGTTGTTTTGAGGTGGTTTTTTTGGGTTGGGGTGGTTTTTTTTTTTTTTTTGGCACTACGTATTGAGGCAGAAAGAAGAGACAAGAGGAGATAAAGATAAAGAATTTTGACTTATTTTGACTTAGTTGCTGAATGCTTTTGGTCTCCTTCCCAGACCATTCAGTTAAGACTTTTACTGACTGCAGGTGTTTTGGGATTTGACCATATGAAAGGATGATTAGCTAGTCAAAGGCTGTTGCATTGCTCATGGAAAGCTAAACTGGGATAGCTTTTGAAGCTAGTTTTGTTAGGGTATTTTCCCAGTCATAGCCCAGATATGTCGCTTGGTGTTATCTTTTCTGTAAATTTTAACAGATTATATTGTGCTGAAGACAAATTATCAGCAGGTATAAAGTATCTTAGCTCCATCTACTCACTAGTATTTCTAAAATCTGTAAGTGTTGGATCAGATCCCATTTTTAGTCCGGGCACAGGGAGTACGCTTTACTGGGCATATGAATTGATATTTCTCTTTTCAAAGCAAAAAATCTGTATTTTAATAGGAAAACACTCAGTTTTGTTTTGCTGCATTACAAACTATTGACAGACACATAACAAAAATAATTCTAAAGCAATGCCTTACCTGCAAAGGTTGGCCTTTTTTCTGATTCTTGCTCCCAGCATTGTTTCATTAAGTCAATAATTTCCACTGGACATTTTTCAGTGATCTCCTCTATGTCTGGTCTATTTCCATTCATGATGCCAAAGCAAATCTGGGCTTCATTAATACCATCTGAAAAATAAAATTTCCCATCAGATCCTGATCATAGGTTTTGCTACCTTTCTGTTGTTAAAAGAAAGAGTGAAGCGGCTCCCTGTGTGTTTGTGGATATGTAAAAGAAGACTTCAAAGATGTCTGAGTTACAGCTACAAACCTCTCACATTAGTGAATTTGAATCCACTGCCCTAACTTCCATGGATTAGAGATTCATTTTAAGAGTAATGGATTTACTTCTATGTGGAAGACGTGCCTAGTGTGAGGAAGGATGACAAATCTAGCTCTCTATAATCTGAATCTCAGTTATGCTCTTCGCTGGGTACAAACACAAAGATGGCCACACAGGCAACGTTTAGCCATTTAGTTAGCAAAAAATCCATTGAAAATGATAAACGCTACTCTGGAAATCCACGGTCTGCTCCTACATGCTCCTAACATGAGCACATCACTGCATGTTGAGAAATTTAGCACTGCACCGCTGAGAAACGGTAACTGACTGTGTGACTGTTCCTGTTAGAAAAAAACACACGTAATAGCCCACCTCAGGAAATAGCATACATCAGTCTCCATCCTTGCCTGCCCAAGGTTTGTCTAACTTCTGCCACTGAGTGCCGGTTTATGCCCACACCATGTAGATGTGAATAGATTGGGCTCATGTCTGTATTTCAATTCAGATGTTCTTGTCCACGCTTAGAAGTCAGGAATGATGCAACTAATGCCTCTTACTGGCCATGAGGTGCTGAACAAGGGCTATTCTTGGATATAGGCAATTTAATCTCCAAATCTTAATTTTATGACTTTAAATGCTTAACACTTGTAACTTAATTTTGTGATAGCATCATTCTGGAAGTAACTTACGTTCATATGGCTCTTTGTTAGCAAAAATTGCCCAAATCACTATGCCAAAGCTGTAAACATCTGATTTCTCCACAGGTTTTACATTAACAGAGCGTAAGTGCTCTGGGGCCATATAGAAAAGAGTGCCAACATTGTTCTGGCAAGTACTCTTGATGTGCTTCTTTCGGACAGTCTCTTCTTGGGTCAGCCGACTCCAGTTCTTAAAGGAGGCAGCACCGAGATCTGCAATCTGAAAAATGAGACACTCAGAGCTAGTGCTGTGATGAAGAGGAGATAAACAAGTATTTCATGCAGTGCTCAGTTTTATAATGAATAGCTGGTTGTCTAAACTTGCCTAAAAATGAAACAGTGCAAGCAACCACAAGAAAGGAAAACAAATTATTTGCCCTTTTGCTGTTTTTTTGCATAAATAAAGTATCACTGCCAACTGGGAACCATCAGACTGAACCTTCATTATTAACTTAACCCTACTTGGAACAATCGCACAATGTAAGGAAAACAAGTTTTGCTCATATTGACAATCACGTTCAAGATCTGCTTGCAGTGCTCGTGGCAGAACAGAAGATCCATATGAGAAGAAGCTAAAATTCAAATCCAGAAGTAATCTGTGACAGGCAGATATCCCTCCTCCCTCACTGCCCTTTCCATTTAGATTCCATCTAACTCACCTTCCTTAGATCTTCCTACTGAGAGGGGGAAGAAGAGGATCTAAAATGATGTGATGTGTGTGGCAAAGAGACATGGAAAAGGATAGCATGGAATAAGTTAAAGCAGGGATACCTGGGTACTGTGCACTTGACAAGGTGACATTGTTGAAAACTTAGGGTGCAGTGTTACAGTTTGACTAATGGCTGATGGTGAAGAAAGGAATCCTTCCCTCCTTCCCTCATAGACTCCTGTTACATGCTCTCTCTGCTCCTCCTGTCCCAGCACTGACGCTTACCTGACACTGAGAAGACCTAGTGCGAGGCAATCAACTGGCTTGCTGAACCAAGTGCTGCCCAACAGAAGGGTAGCACTGCCAACAGTAATCTGCTGGTTTGGCTTCCTAAATCAGGGCAGGGTGGTCTGATTAGCACCAGTGCTAACACAAGGGAACAGGAGGTCAACAGGAGAGGAAAAATGGAAGAAATGGGACTGCCTCTGTTGGCCACAGGCAGCTGTCAAACTGAGTTGTGTAACCCAATCACTTCAGATAAAACTGAGGTGACACTTTGCTTCACTTCTCACTTTCCTTTTCTTTCTTGTTGCCTCTAACTAGCTTATTGTTTCTCTTGAGTTTCTGAAGCTTTGGGCTAAATTTAGAGGTCATGTATTCAGAGGAAGAGGAAAATCTAAGTGACATCCTCCTGAGGAAGTAGGAGTCCAAGTTCATGTCTACAAGTGAGAGGAGGTCTAATGTGATAGAGAAAGATGTGACAGAAATTTTCCCACATCTGCAGTTTTCTAGAACAACTGTTTCCCTTTATAAATATTGGCAACGTTAGACACATTCAGGTGGATAGATCATACAACAGCTGCCTTAAATTATACTTTTGATCAAGCTGCTTAAGGAAGTCTGATCTGATTCTGAATTTGATTTTGGGTTCCAGTCAGTTTGTCATGCAGTGTGATGATAGCCTAGTTTGGTCCTGTCCATATAAGCAAGCTAAAACCCAAAAAACCCAGCCAATTTACATTTAAAGCAGATCATGATGTGGGGTTTTTTTTGGGTTTTGGGTTGGTTTTTTTTTTGGGGCAAAAAAATATAGTTTATACCTTTTATCTGCAAGCTGCTCATACTCCACTAGGACTTGCTACTATATTAAACTTATCAAACAACTTCTCACTATTTTCTGTGTGAGAAACATCAAGTGACAGAACTCTCTTCACAAGAATTTATTCTGTAGTTTCAAACTGTAATGGGGTGATTATTTCAGCAACTCACCTTCACCAGAGACAGGACATTTGATGAGGACTGCTGCAAATTCTACTCAGGTTTATTCAGCAGTAGGCTCTATATCTATGCGTCTTGATCCAAAACCCCACTAAAGTTAATAGGAAGGCTTTGGAACAGGCTTATAAACCATTCTTTGAAGTGGTCTCCTGCTGCTTTTTTTGTAGCTGCTGGCTGTCATTTAAAAATGATGACTAAGGGAAAAAAGAAGGAGACAACAGAAGAAAAGATAATAGGCAAAAGAAGGAAAGGAATAAAAAAGAGGAGGTGAAGGCAGGAGGAGAAATTACAGCAATAAAGGACAAAAGACATAATCCATAAGACTTTCCATTTTGTTTCAATCTCTACGTGGTAAGGTTTGTTTTTTTCTTTCTAGCTGTTTTGTTATTTGCAGTTCATTAATTCTCAACAATGTTATTAATTTTTTAATACCTTTAGTGATTTTTTTTTTCTCCCCCACAGTTGGGGGAAGATTATGCAAATCTCAGGCTCAGAGATTGTATAGGCGGCCATACTTCAGTGATCCACTGCTAACACTCTCTTAGCGATAGCTCGCTAGACTACAAAGGAGTTCATCTACCAATCAGGAATACTAACCAATGTAGCTGAACTGGGTTCTTCAACCCAAATCACCAGCTTTCTCCATTTATGTTCTAACTAGTACCTTAATGTGGAAGTCTGTGTCCACAAGGATGTTTTCTGGTTTTAGGTCTTTGTGTACGAAGCCTTGCTCGTGCAGATAAAGCATTCCTTCTGTGATCTCCAGCACGAAACGCCCTTTCACTGACAAAGGCAGTGAGAGCTAAAACAAAGAACAAGAAGTACCATCTATTAAAAAATACTGCTACCACAACCAAATTAAAAAACAGTCTTTAAAAAAAAAGCTTCTCTGTCAGTCCTAAGAATACCTCTGCTCAAGGAATGGTAAAAAAAAACGAAGGTCGGTCTTGGATCTAAATTTTTGCATTAAAGTAATTCTAGAGTCGCTCCATGTTTACAAAAGCATTCTTCTTCAGCAAATTCTCCACATATCTGTACAAACACTCCTATAACTTTGAACGTATAACTGTGGTCTGCTCCTCTGTGATGCACAGGAAAACCATAGTTGTCCTCTCCTATCTCTAGACAAGGCAGGGCTTCCACTGGCTCTTTAATACAGAAAGGAGAATGAGAAACTAAAGACTCCATTCTCTGGAGATGCAGTAACACCCTGTCCCTTTCAAGCATCTTATCAACCCTAAGGAACAGGCAAGGGATGAAGCAATTCACTGCTCACTTTCTGTAGCACTTTCATCATGTTCCCCCGGTCCACATACTCCATCACAAGTGAGTAGTTTCCATCTTCCAAAATTATACCTAGTAGTTTTACCACACGGTCATGCTGCAGTCTGCGCATAATCCTGCCTTCTTCAAGGAGGGAATCATTATATCTGTAAAACAGAAATTACGCTGAACTTAGGTGCCAGGCTAGAAAGAACACAGGGATGAAAATGCTATTAAGTCATAACGAAAACGATGGCCAAAAATATCAACATCCCTAGAGCTGCTGTAAGATGAACCATACCCTCAGCTGACTTTTAATTGATACAGTTTTGTTCATGTCAGGTTATGTCAAAGTCTCTGCTCAAATGTCTTGCACAGACTGTCTGCACAGCCTGATTTTAAGGCCTGCTTTTCAGAAAGTGGATAAGCATTTTTTTTGAAGGTGCACTGCTGGTTGTGTACGTCCAAATCCCTCTGCTGGGGTGGGATCAGGGCAGGGCTTGAAAGAACCTTTGGACAAGGAGGATAAAGACACATTCCACTACCTCTTGTACAGGAAACTAGACAGGTCTCTTTCCCAAAGGGCTGGTATGCATGTTCACGTTCAAAATGGATTTATTACAGGGGATCCACCCACCTGCTGGATGATGATAACATTTACTAATGATTACTGGTTTAGGATGAATTCAAAGCCTAACTCTGTACCTGGGCCTCAGTACAACCCATCAATAGTCACAGGTACACAGCTGGGAGCTCACTAAGGGTGTTAAAGGAGGATGGTACCCATTATATTAAATAGAAGAAGGGGTGGCATTTTTACTATTGCTCCTCTTCTAGTCATCGGGCAAAAGGATGTAAGAAAATCTTAAGACTATGTTGCTTGCTAATGCTCTCCTACCCTGTGACTTAAAAGGAAACTGCTTTCTGCCTCTGTGTTCGTCTGTAGTACTAGAGAAGAAAGTGTTTTGTTTGCATTAGGCTCACTTATAAATTTGCTCAAGACTTTAAGGAATAACAAACTTAGGGGGCCTGTGTAGTGAGAAAGTAAAAACACAAACCCAAAAATAAACCAGGCAAACTACTAGAATCTTTTAATTTGTTTTCCACTGGCAAAATAAAAGCTCAGCTAATTTATTTATCATAACCCAAACTAGAAGAACATGGGGTTTTGTCTCTCTCTAGTGGATGACTTGTGGGAGAGTTTTAGGACTGTTATGGCTGTGAGGTGGTAGGGCTGCAACATGACCTGAATCCACTGAAATCAACAGCTAATTCAATCCTTGAATTAAATCAGTGGGCTCGGCTCACTCCTCTGTTTTTTCTCATGGGAGAGAGGGTTACGTTCTTGGTATTATACATGTGGTGTTGGAATCCTCCTGACAGCTCACAAGTGTTTAGCTCCTAGTGGACATCCACAGTTGGACACTTGTCTTGAAAATTGATCTGCAAGCTTGAAAATATCATGTGTCCACTGAGTTCCTGCATTTCCTTAAGTGTGCAAGAGTCCCCTTGACTCTTAACAATACACAGAAGTGCTCACCTTGCGACAGGAAACAGGAACTTCACTGGAACAATGAGTTGAAACTAAAAAAATTGGCTTGTGAAGGGAAAAAAGGAAAATTTACAGAACTAAGATCTGGAACTTACTCGGTGCGCTGGGGTCCTGTATACACTTTTTTTAAGACTACATATCCATGTTTCTTGTGAAAGCATAAAGAAATTGTTCCAAATCCTCCAGCGTCTAATTGTTCTTTTTCGAGCAAATCCTGGGTGTTCATGTGGATGTCTTCCAGCGACATGTTTGCAGTCTTTGTGGCTTAGCAATTAAGACAAAATCAAGTACCCTAGTGCTTCTGGATCTGTAATACAAAGGAGGAAAAGAAGGTGTCATCATCAAGCGCTTAGCTGTTCCACTAAATAAGCGTCTGTGTAAGGAGTGGGACACAAGCGCATACTCTTGTGACCCTTATGAACAAAGGGCCTCGGTTTGAAACCAAAGATGCTGTGGTTCTCAGAGGATCAGACCTAAAGATCACCATGATTTATCCTGTCAACTCATTAGAGTTATATGAGGTCGATGTAAAACCATTTCTTCACCTGAGGATCTCAAAGTGCTGTTAATAAATAGTTTTTATCCATACAATATGCAGTAAATAAGTACTGTCCCTACACTTCACACCTGCAAAAACTGAAACCCAGAAAAATCGAGGGCCGCTGTTCCAAAGGCAGGTAGTTCCTAGTGATTCTGATAGGCATCTCATTTTCTAAATTGCCTGAACAAACGCCTGTCAGGTGCCCAGACACTTATAAAACCCTAAGCTACCTTTTAGGCATCTTTGCAAATCTAGCTCTAAAGGGTTTGCTTGAAGCTTCAAACAAACAAACAAACAAAAGTTTTCTCTGGAGGGTGAAACAAGGAACCCAGCTTCTGTGGGAAACTTATTTTCACAGCTGTCTGAATTTAAGGAGACAAGTGCTAGGGAGGACTGTGGTGGGGATATAAGGCAACTTCTCCCCTGCCCCCTCAAAAAGAAGAGGAACAAAGAAATTGTGAAGATTTGCAGTATCTCCTAAGTGCACCAAGAGAAAAAAAAGAGAGCTTGGGGGAAGCCTACAAAATGGGTAGATAAGTAAACCCCAGTGGCTGCCAGAATAATTTTAAGCCTTTGATAAAGCTGTGGTGCTCCCTTGCCTAACACATCTCTCAGGAGGTAAAACGTTAAAAGAAGGCTAGACAGCCGGTACCTTCAGCACACACCAGCAGGCTGCGTTGCTGACATAGGTGCAAGCCACAAGCTCTGTTTTCTTCCTCACTGAACTTTTGCCTTAAGCACTTTATGTCAAGTAAGGGAAGAGTTTGCTGAGAAAAGACAAAGTCCAAGAGACCAGCAGGGCTGTTCAGCTTCCATTCCTCTTGGGTGACTGACAACTATACAGAGCTGGGAGAAATGCACCATTTCAAAGTGCTACTAGCAGTAGGGCAAATTAGCTCATTTGGGTAATTAAGAGCTCTAAATAGTGTAGCAAAGGGATTCCCAAATTTTTAAGGCTGGCAAGTAACTACTAACTCCTGTAAACTACTGAGCACCTGTATCACCAAATCTGTAATTGAAAAGGTTGCTTAATGTTGTTATGAATATCAGCTGCAGCCTAATTACCACAGCCTCTTTCTGGAGCCTGGGAACTACGGAGGTAGTGAAAGTGTCTGAGGGGAGAGAGATGTTTATGTGTGGACTTGGAAATTGTCTCATCAGTTCAATACTGACAAACCAAAATAAGGAAGAGTAAACGTAATTAATAAAAAGGTTGTGACTGTAGAAGATAGAAAGCAAGAGCTTCCTCTTCCAAGTGTGTATGTATACTCTACGTGTGGCCTGTTGTCACATAGGCTGGGAACATCCTCTCTACATCTGCAGCAGTGTGCTCTCCTCAGAGTTTTCTTCTTTGACTTTCCTGGATTTGAAAGGATGCAGAATTTGTTTTGCTGGAATGCTAGCCTGTGTTATGAACACAGGACTGAGGATATGGCTGCGTTTGTTTAGTAAGAAGGTAAGCTCTGCTATGCCTAATAATTGTTAGAGGAGATTGTTGTTGTGTTTTGTTGTTGTTTTTTAAAAAATCCTTTATAGTTAATCAAATAGCTGAGTAACAAATTACTTATAGCAGTGCAAAGAATACTGGCTGTTGCTCTCATAGGTGACCTTTGTCTCCCTGGAAGTTTCTGGTGATGGTTCTCTGGCTTTCTTGAGGTGGTGCTACTGACTGTTGTGCACATGGGGTGGGTGTCACAGGTACAAAGCCCTGATTTCAGTCATGAGGCTTTAACATGGCATGAACTAATGTCTTGCTTCTTTATCTGGGGTCTCCCTTTCAAGAATTTGTTTAAAGTCACGTATCTATGGTAATTTTTCCATGCTAACAGTAATTATGTATCTAGGTAGTAGTTACTCTTGTGAGAATTGCACGTGCTCTTCTTGTGAATGTAAAATAGATGTGTATTTTTGAATGCTTAATCTCTAAAGTTGCATTAATACTATTGATAGCTCAGGCCTGCTGTTCAATACCATATAACTTGATGAAAAACAGCCCTGCCTCAAATTGCAACAATACAGGACCTTGTTCCTATTTACATTGCTAATAGCAGTTCCTATCACGCAGCGTGTAATCATTGTAACCAGAGGGCTTGGAAATTCAGTAGTAATTATTTCTGAAATCATGAGGTAGCTGCTGAAATGAACCAGGTAACAGTCAACTCAGAGAATTTTCTCCTAAGATGGGAGGGAACCCTTCTCCTTGGGCATGCTACTGTTAGGATGCTACGACTTTTTTTTTGTTATTAAGTAGTGAGGTACTCTGTGTAAAAGCTCTTTGATCTTAACACTTATTTCAAACCTGAAGTTTTTTGTAGGAGGGAAGGCAATCTATAGCCAGGTTTTTAAGCAAAGACTTCTGGTATTTGGTATATTTTGGTATACTGTTTAACATGAAGCATTGCCTGATGCTACCTGGAAATACCAGATGACACAGAAATCAAGGAGGGAAGCTAAAAGGCTCAAGTTCATTTCAAGCTTACTGCTTTTTATTGAGATACATTGTGATTCAAATGTATCCTCAGTGCCTATGATTATACAACATCTGCACTGGTGTATCTGTGGTGAAGAGAATTCTGTAGCTTCTTTAGCCTAACCTTACATAAACTACGCATACTTACAGGGATTAATTTGTGTTCTATAAGGTAACCCAGGTAACCCTCATCCATATGCTTTGTTGATTACACAGCAATTTTTTTCTAATATACTATTCTGAACATCTGTGTTAGGGTGGGTTCATGTTTAACAAGTACTAACATGTATTATGAAAAGTTTGCACACAAGTTGCAAAAAAAAAAAAAGAGGGATTTTTGCCCACCAGTATGTTTGGGTTTTCTTTAGAGAAGGATAAAAGTGTAATAAGTGGGATAAACTCCCAAGAATCATGACCTGGTTGTAATCGGGCCTGATCATCATACAGAAGCGGTTTGCTCTATTCTAATGATTTGTTACCAATCTGATGTAGCTCTGGTGTAGCCTGCACAATTAAGGAGGATTGCTGAGCTCGTTAGCACAGAAATATGAAAGAAGGTCACATGGTAATTGCAGCCTTTTTGGTCTAATGATACTCAGTTCTTGAGAGGTGTTACAAGGTATATCAGAGAAAGTGAACAAGTTTGCAAGTGTCAAAACTTGTGGCTGCTTAGTTGTCAGTTAGGAATGGAAGGGAATAGCAAACAGAAGCCAAAGCTGGTGTCACTGATATGGGTAAGAGGAAATAAATGGAAGGGTTCCTGCAGCTGAAGACAAAAATACTGCATGTGCAGAAGATGTTTCAAAAGCTGTCAGTGCATCTCAGCTCTATTGCTGTAACTCTCATAACCTGTTCCGTCTAAACCTTTCCCTTCTGCTCAGCTCTTTCAGCTGCTGCATCTTCTCACTGAGGAATGATTTCTGTTGTTTTTTCTTTTGGAAATAGCAAAGAAAATACCAATGTCGGGTCAGCAGCAGGTTACAGAAGGGATCCTGTGGGAACGTGAGGAGTGTCGAGACACGGGAAGCAAAGGTGTTTCATAGGACCAGAGCAGAGGGAGGGGGGAAGGGGCTCCGTGCGGCAGCTTGTACCAGTACAGCTGTGTCACAGTCGGTTCTGGTTGAGGACAGAAATGCTCACAAAAAGGTGTGTTCTTGCACGGGAATGAGAACGGGCTGTCTCGGCGGAGGCACGTCGTACTGCCGTGGCTGTCAGAGGAAGGCGGGACCTGGTGCCGGGCCCTCCCGGTCAGGCCGCGCTCGGCCCCGGCCACCCAGCTGGCAGCC